AACAAGGAAACTGAAGACAAGTAGAGCATTTGGCAGGTTTTAGAAGCTGCAAATCCAACTGCAGATTTAATCTTCCCAGGTATCTTTACGAAAAAACGGATATTCCACATTACACTTGAAAAAATTCTACAACTATTCCTAATCCTGAGTTACAGAGACTACTTGGCCAGCAATTGGCTATGTTCAGGTGGCAGGTAAAGTTGAGGGACACTTAGCAGTATTTACCTCTCCTCTTTCACAATGGCATCATGGAATGCTTGAGAGATACGCTTCAATTGGCAAATCCCTGAGGAGACCAGTTCCAACTCACAGTCAAACCCTCTGCAAACAGAATGGTCATTGCTACAGATCAAACAGGACAGGCTGACTAGGTGACACTACTCAAGCCTCCATCCCTGCAGTACCACTCTTGTACCTCTAGACTGTACCCAGAGAAGTTTAGGGCAGTGGCAATTATGCTCTTAATTCCATTGGCCAACTGCTTCATGTCTCCATTCATCCCCCAAACAGCTATCTTCCAACTCAAATACAGGATTCAGATTCACAAAGCTTGGATTCAACTTCTAGCTTTAACTTTTTTTGTGACTTCGACCAAAAGAAAAACCTGTGTGCACAATATTAAGTATTTCCCTAGCTCACAACCCTTAATCGGATTTGTGTTTGTTCTTTGAGGTAGGAATCTCTCCACATTCTATAAAGAACTCAGCATAAGTAGAGTTTTCCTGGTATCTTTGGAATACAAATAGCAGCTTTGGAAAAGTTACAATTAAATCAGAGTGAGATACAGAGCAATTTCCTTTATGCAAAAGGCACCAGCAAAGAACTCGGGTATGTCTCTAAGAAAAAATTACTTTTTAAGTTTTAGCTTTATGCATAGCTCAGTCCCTGTCTATATAGGGAGCTGGCACTACTTTCCTAACTTTCAAGCAGCATACACCTTCAGGGAAATAGGACAGAAAACTTTAGACCTTGCCTTTCACTTTACCAGATACTCTCATCGGGGTAATAAATTAAAAATCTTTAAAAAAAAAAAAGTTTACAAAAGAATGTGACTTACGTCCTTCTGCTGGAAGGAGCAGATGAATAAGGGCTCTTCAGTGCTGCTGCTCTTCTAGATCTCCGAAGAGAGACAGCGTTTTTACCAAGCCAGGGTGAGAAATCCCTCCATTCTCTATGTTCTGACACCCTTGTTGGCCCAAGCAAGGCCTTTTTGCTGGACCTTGGAGTTCCTTTGGAACTGGCTGTTGGGGTAGTGTTCTTATAGCAAGGTGTTCGAGGTGTAGCAGTTCTTTTTTTGGTAGAACTGGTCGCACAGCTTCTGCTGGTGGATTCATCTGGAAAGGTCACTATTGAGCATACTGGGCTTTGGCAAGACTTCTGTATTTTCTGAAAGAAGCAATAGACATGTTAGGCTAAATGAACTCGGTTTTTTAGTAACTATGAGACAAGTACTAAGGTGTGCAAGTGTGCGGGAATAGACTCTCTGGAATACAGCACTCAGTACAGAATTCAGAAATCTTAGTAGTGGAGTTGAAGCAAAAACTAAACTCTGTGTTGTACTGCAAAGACAAAATACCTGGGACACTGTTCCAAAAGCATGTTTTGCTCTTCTTTTAATAGTCTGAAGAGTTTGGCACCTCTGTCTTGGTTCCAGACTTTCCCTTGTTGGGGTTTTATGAAAATTCAGATCAACTTGCATTAATGGTACCCGTTTCCTTAAAGACATGCGAATGGTATTGAGAGAACTCAGAGAGGCTCTGCTCTTGAATTTGTCAGGCACTGGGCTCTCATTCTCATTGAGGTCAGCTAGGAGCCGGTGTTTCCTCCATGCCACTGTTGCTTTGACATTTTGGAGCACAGATGACATCTTGTTCCAGTTCTTGGTCAAGAACTTCTTTATTTCTAAAACAATGAAAATGAGAGCAAAGCTTAGGCAGAACAAGGTACAAAGCAGTGTAAAAAAAGAGAAATGGAAATTGTTACAGAATATATTTTGTTACACTTGCCTGAAACAAGAAAAGGAGAGCTGAGAAGGCTTTTAGTTGGAGTTTTGAAGGAGAACAGGGTTGATTTTTACAGCTACTTAGGTTTGCACAAGTCCACAAAGAAGGCTTGTATTGCAATTCCACTGCAACACTCTAATTTGAGAGGTAGAATGCTCTACGAGTGCATTTTTTTTTGTTGGCATCTCAGATCAAGATCTGATATCCCAAATTTTAACATTCTTTAATCAAAACAACCTTCCACTGCGAGACAAGTTTACACAGCTGCTATTGTCTCCTGCCAGTTATGATTGCGGACACTTAAGTCCTGAAACAGACAGGATTACTACTACTGGCAGAAGACTTCGGTGGGAAGGGCTAAAATGCTAGTTATCTACATGACATGACAATTTAAAAACACATATACTTTCCATTCTTGATTTTCGCTTGCTAACAAATACTTTTGGAATGACCCGAGAGAGCCGCTGCTGTCCTACGGTTACAATGCTCCGTTTATCAAACGGGTGTTGCACAGGCCAGCGCGGTGCCCTCTTCCTTCTGGAGGCCGCGGCGGCCTGGGGCAGCCCCCGGCCGGGCCCCTGGACACACGCAGGCCCTCACACAGCCCAGGAGCCCCGCTCTGTTGGCACTGCCCGCGCTTCCCGCCAGATCCGCCGTGCCGCCGCATCGGGCTAACGGGACAGCGGGTGCTGGGCGGGCCCAGCCGGTGCCGTTATTGCGCCCACCGGGACAGTAGCAACAAGCGCGGAAAGTGCCGCCAAGGGCGGAGGAGACGGGCTCGGGCAAAGGGAGCCGCGGCCGGGCCGCTCTGGCAGCTGCTCGGGGCAGTACTCACTCAGTGTGCCGGACGGAAGCGGGACGCGAATCGGGACCGAGCTGCCCCCTCCCTGCACAGCTCCTCGCGTTTGAACGCCGCGCCGCCCGCTCCGAGCCCCCGGATTGGCGCCGCTGCCGCCGCCGCCCGCCGCGATTGGCCGGCCCCGCGCGAGCGGCTGCCGTTACTCGGCCCGCGCGGAGCGGCCGGCGGTGAGGGGCGGCCCGCGCCGCGCTGAGGGCAATGCCCCGGGCCGGCCGCACAACCGCAGGGGCTGCGCTGCGCCCCGCCCGCGGCTCTGGCGCCTCTGCGGGCCTCGGCCCAGAGATCCGCCTCAGCGGGACTAGTAAAAGGACTCAGGCTGGGTTGCCCACTTGGGTATCCAAGCCACAGCTCCTGTTACTTCTGGTAATTATCGGTCAAAGTCTTAGAAGGTTTTTTTGTTTCTTTGCTTTTACTCCACGGGCTTCTGCAGCTCTTGCTGGAGGAGACAGCTAGTGTAACTGTCCGTACGGCACCGCAAACCATCCGGGACGCCCTCTGAAGCACATCGGGCAGCAAATTGGGCCAAGGGCAAAGGATGTATGTGTTCAGCGCTGGGGGATTTTGTTTTGATTTGGTTTTTTTTCCTTACCCGAGTGGCAAACAAGACATGCAAAGCATTCATTTATCTTTAAATAACTTCTGCCTGAAAATTTGGTCTAGAAAGAACTGTAGCAGCATCTGTTTTTTCCCAAAGATTTGATTTCCCCCCACCAAGTTAAACTCGGAGCTGACAGCTAAAACACCTCCTTAGCTAAGACTTGGCTTATAGTGGTGGGGAAGGCAAGCCAACACTGCAGGATACCTCTTGAATCTCACCACTGGCTTATAAACAAACATACTTTTTACAAGTTCATAAGAACTCTGGTTTTAAAAAAGTTCCACATGATGGTGTTTGTGCCGCTTTGTATTCACACACTAATATTGATTAGTGCAGCAGTGTAATAAACATCCTTTATTAACAGGTGTGTTTCTATGTATTACAGCCCTATATTCTGTTCTGCTTTCCTTGTCTGTTGACTGCAGGGCTTCCAGGTAGCTGAAGTGTCAGACCTCTTCCCCTGTGTTCTCCCCAACTCTCTATAGCAAAAGTTTCAGGTTCTTCTCACTGGCAAACTGGAGCTTCAGCCACCATATTTTAAGACTTGATTTGGATTTTTGGACATTGATCTAGAGACCTCCTAAATGACTAATAGTTCTGCAAAACAAAGAGTTCTTCTTGGCAGTACTAAATACAAGAGAGAGAGAGAGAGTGAGGTATCAGACCATATGCTCAGTTTCTAAGGGTTATCTGGATAGCTGGGGATGTAGGTTGGTACTTTGAATGGCAAGAGTGGGCAGAGGACTCCCTAAGAATATAAATGGTGCTAATTGAAAAGAGTATGTGTACAGGAAGAGAAATTCTGTGCAACATAAGAACTGTAGGCAAAAAGACAAACAGCAGACCGAGCTTAATTGTGCTATCAACCTGTCCTTTCATGCTTGTTTATAAAATTAAAATAGAAATATCTGAGCCTTTGTAGTTGTAAACAGACTCTCAGGGATCTGCATGTTTTCTTCTTCTTCTTCTGGATCCACTTCTTGTTTCCATCCATTTCAACATTTTTTATCCAGCCTTAATCTAAGGCAGGGTACTAATTGTCATGGAATGGCCAGAAGACTATGAAAAGTCATTAGTGCTAATTTTGCACTGATGGTCCTGTTCAAATGTATGCAGCCCAAATAACTGAGTACTTTTAAACGCTAGGCATCAGACCACAGACCATGATCAATTAATTGCAGCTGATGCTAACCAAAGGTTTTGCAGACAGTGTGGCTACTGTAGCAGCAGTTGATGCCATTTCACTGTTTAGCTAGACTGAAGGTGAAGGCCAAAATGTTAAAAGATGTGTCCTGTGCTTGTACTGCGATTGTTCTTCACTCTTTGTTTTTTTTCTTTTGATTTAGGTAAGACTATAGTTTAGACTCAAGGGCTTGTTTGACAGCTGGAGTACAGAGGCAAAGGGTTGTTGGTTTTGATTGTGAAGAAACAAATTATCATCCATTTGTTTAGAAGCCTATTATGTTGGGATTGGCAAGAAATCTACCCACAGCTTTCTGCATGTTGGTTTGATTTAAGACCCAGAAGAGAAGTCCTCTCAATGGAAGATGACAGTGAACCTGAGCAAAGCTCCTGGGCCTACCTACCTGATGTCTGTCTGAGGCTTGTCTTCCATTGGTTAGATGACAGGGACAGATCTCGGGCTGCCTTGGTCTGTAAAAAATGGAGTTGCGCCATGCACTCTGGATCTCTCTGGAGATGCAGAACCATCACCTTCTATGGCCAACCATCAAGGGCACGCACATTGGAGTTTCAAAGTGCACTGTGGTATACCAAGAAATTTGGCAAGTATTTGAAGCACCTTGAGATCAAGTTATCGAATCCTTACAATACTCCCTTTATCAAAAAATTCCAAGTGATTATGAGAGGTCTTCTTTCACACCTGGGTAAGTGTAATAGTCACCTAGTATCCCTAAGCATCAAGTACCTAGAATTAGACTGCTTGATCTGGAAAAATGTGGTTAGGGCTCAGTTTATCAAGAATTTAGCTGCCTTCCTGAAAAAAATGAGCAATCAACTTGATTATCTTAACTTGAAAGGAGCAAGAATAACTTTGGAAGAAGGCTGTGAGCTTCTGAATTCTCTAAGCAGTTTGACAAATAGAAGCTTCATATCTGAAATCAATATTGAGGATTTCTTCAGTCTCCACCTTTCTGTCTACAGCAGTGCCTTGTTCCACCAAACTATGTCTAAGTTCCACAGGCTGACCATCCTGACTTTCAATTATAACTGCATCTCTGATGAACTGCTGGACATCCTGCGGGAGCGCAGCTCTCATTCCCTGTGCACCTTGAATATCAAGTGTCATATCCATGACCCTCACGGGCAAGTGGTCTCAGGAATGTCATGGGCAAACTTAGCCAAGAGAGCCCCAAAACTGAATGTGAACTTCTTCTTTGAAAGAGTCATGAAGCATGATCACCTAGCTAGGATTCTGCTAGAGGAGATCCCAGTTAGGAGCATCAGCCTACGGAGCTGTTATTTTAGTGACCCAGACTGGACAATGAGACCTACCCTCACCAACCTTCTCCCAGCTTACTGGCATGGTCTGCAGGTAAGGGAAACAACAGAGACACCCTACTGCAGTATCACAAAGCTATACAAAGTAATCATGTAGGCCTTCTGCATAACAGCAGTCAGCAACAGAAGTTCCTGACTGCTTTAGTTTTACATTCAGAAGGCAGGTTTCATAAGTGAGTCATTTCAGTGTTTCACCCATAATATCGTTAATGAAATTATCCGTGTCCAGTAATAACCCTTCATAATGCTATCAGGCTGCTCTATTTTGACAATGCACAAATGTCCTACAGCACATCTAAATTAACTAGTGCCTGTGTCAAAGCACTTCGGTGTCATAAGGGATGCGCCATCAAAGGTTTGCAACAGCTACCCGCGTAAGTGAGAATCAGGTCTTTGCATGCCAGAGGGAAACACGTGGCCTTACACCTGATGGTTGCTGACAGCTTTTGTGAGTCCTGTTCCATTGCAGAGTTGCCAATAAACACCATAGATATATAAAGCATTCTAGAAACCATCATTAGCTCTAGTCTTGTCTCTGGGATAATTTTCATTATGTTCAGATAAGATCATGGTATGACTGTAGGTGCAGAATTTTCTAATAAATGCACAGAAGGTCACCACAGGAGAGCAATTTACTGTAGCACATACACTGTTGTCATAATGCAAAACAGATCCTCAGCTAATATCAAGGTACAAAATTGATCTGCTTTTTTTGTTGTTAACTTGGAACACTATTTGTGAATTCTAGTTACTGCATGCAACATCTGTTTAGTAGTATTAACAGTGTTTATTTTTTTTCAAGAAATTAACACTTGAATTAAACAATGACCATGAGTTGCTGGACAATGAGCTGCTACAGCTTATCTTATCATGCAAGAGGTTGTTATTTCTGAAAGTCTGGGCATTTCTAAGTGTCAGCTTTATGGAGAGACTTCTACAAAACCGTGCAGAAAGGAAATGCATTTTGACTACCATAAAGGTAAGACTTTGTGCTTCAAAACTCCCATTCCCAGTCTTGCTCCTATACCCAAAGGTCCCCATGCCCAGGCAAAGATCACTTACAGAAATGTTAATGTAACTATCTTCCCTATGTTATGCCTTAGTACTAAAGAGCTTGGGAGCCACTCAAGGTTGAGGAAGTTTTCCAACTCTACTTAGCCACATACAGATACTACAGAAGTTTATTATGAAGTCCTGAAAATTCCAGAAGCTCTTCTTAGACTGGCAGTCCCTCTTTCACCTCTAGTTCAAGCCATCTCCCACTTCCAGGATTTCTCAGTTACCTCTCAGGCTCAGTGCTTATGTCTATGCTTAAACCAAGGAAGGTGGACTGAATCCCACTAAATTGCAAAAAGATATAAACACATCACACCCTTCAGGGGTCCTATGCTGAACTGGGGCCAGGCCACCACTGTAGCTAGTGTAAACCATACTGACATGCTACTTTCTGTGCTACAATCTGAATTCAGTAGGTCCTCACAGATCTGTGCAGATCCCAGGCAGGGACACATCACTTCTGGGGGCAAAAAGAACCTTGTTCTTCCTGTCTGAGTCAGCACAGGCAGACAGCTGGGACAACCACAAAACCACAGTAAAAGACAAAGAGTAAATTTACTTCCCTTCTTTCACTCATCGAGGCATCCCCAAAGCAACCCCCAGGCAGACACACACAAGTGGAGAAAGAGGCACAGTTAAACTCGTTCCGGGCCAGAGGATCACTGGCTGGCCTTCATACTGGGTTATCAAGAGCTATTCCCATCTGCAAGGTCACCCGAGTGATTTACAATCCTTCTTGCCAGTCTTCCACTATTTAATCCATTTCTCCCAACACTTCCCAAAAATTCTTTGGCAGGAGATAGTTTCAGTCAGCTGGGAGTGGGAAGAGAGTAAAGCCTCAAGATTCTATTCCAATTCAAGGAATTTTGCTTCTGTAGATTCCTTATTAGTCACAGATGCGTCTTGTTGCCATGAGCTGTAATGGGTTGAGGTCCCTATATCTGAGAGACATGACTGCTGTTTGTGCATACAGGTCAGGATTTACACAGCCCAAGACGACAGCACTGAGGAGGAGCGGCTGCTGGCTGATATTTACAGGAAATTCAAGTACCTGATTGACTCAGAACTTAATTATTTTGTCATCACCTATCCAATGGTGTAAACTACAGGAAGAGAAGAACACCCAGTAACATCTGCATTAAGGGGTCCTTTGGAGCGCTTCACTAAGGGATTTGAATTTTGACAGCAGTGCCTCCAAAAGGGAGTTACCATTCCAGCAAGAGAGAGCCAAGGGACAATTTTAAACTCCATGTATTAAAATGTTGGACTTGGGAACTGGACTCCTTTGTCTCCAGCATTATTTATTCTTGTCCTTGCTTTGGTTTTCCTTGCCAGAACCAAAGGGAAGCAGTGATCCCTTTTCCACCCTTACAGGCATCTCTGATAAAAATAAGACCCTCTTTTTTCAGCACTTCTCATTGTAGAGCTTCAAACACTTTAGCACTGAAACCCACCTCATTGTTTCCATTTTACAAATAGGGAAACTGAGACATGGGGTGAACAAGTGATTTTTCCAAAGTCAGCCTTGACTTGATCTCAATTCAGAGGCAGACAGATGCACTATCTAGGGTATCAATTAGATAAGTTAGGTCCTGTTAAGTTGGCCACACTGTCTAGTTCTTAGCAGCAGATGCTAAGATAAAAACAAAACATTGCATAACCAGTCCTGAGACACATCCCTCCCACTTGCCCAGCTTTCCAATAAGTGATTTATGAGGACACTCCTGCTTCGGCTTCCACACAGCTGCCTTTTGACACCTTTCAATGGTAAAAGACATCATTGGTTACACATGAGACAAACATGGAAGAAAGGGCATTTCTCATTATTCTGGTGTTTATTGCCAAGAGGAAGATTTCATCAAACATTTTAGAGCATAGATAGTCCTGAAACAAACAGCTGTAAGTACTAGGTCTGTTTTAACTACCTTGTGCAACTAGACAGCATTGAGCCAAGCCAATAAATTTAGAAGTTTGCAAATAAAATTTCAGTAGGAGCTGGTTCTTTGGAGCACAGTCTCCCAGTATAATGACTTCAGTAATTGTTTATGCAAACAGACTCTCTCATTTGCATGCACAGCACTTCATCAATGTACAGTGTGTTCTCCTTGACCTTGATCTCTTCCTCCAAGGAAAGCTGCCGGCGGCTCAGGCCTTTCAGCTCTGTCTGAGCCTGTGCCAATGCATCCTTTAATCTAACAGGGAAAATAGAGACAGGCATTAGTTGAAAACACATGGATAGTTGTTTTTTTTGGTTTTCTTTTCTCATAAGGGTAAGGAATTCTGAGCAAGAAAAAGAAAGATGGAAAGGGATTCGCAGAGACAATATCCACTGTCTTCCTATAAAGTTTATCCATTAACTTCCCTTAAAGTGTCCTGCCTTTAAGAGAAAAGCAATTCCAAACTTTTCAGAGAGAACAGCAGGGACCCATATTATGAGTTGTTATGCTGACACATTAAATTAACCAATACCACAGATTTTCCTCGTCCATCATTACCACTTGCCTTTGAAGATTTTTGGTAATCTCTTGGACTTCACTCATCAGGCTGCTGTGCACTGTGTCATAGCACAGTTCCACATTGGGGCGATGGTTCCTCGCTTCCAAGCGGGTTTGAGCCACTTTTACAGGTGCTTCCGTATCAGCAATTGCTTTCTTTAAGGCTGCAATGTTCTTCTCCTGTGAGGCAGTCTCATCCATCACCTTAACAAATCCAACAATGGAATTCTGCACACTGCCTCTTACAATGTGTGAAACCATCATCATCATCATCTTTAATAGTTGCAACAATCACAGTAACACTCACTATATTGTTACTTAATCAAAAAATATTTTGCAAAGTTTAGCCAGGAGAATGATTCCTTCACTGGAAAGTAGATGACACTGCTCTGGGTGAACTCAAAAATTTATGCTCAGCAATTAATTTTTAATATTAATACTCAGTTTTCATGTGTCGAATTTTGAGCACATTGACCCTGCTATTATCAATTACCAGGCTCTTATATCACAATCCTGAAAAAGCTATAGGAGCCTCATGCAACTAAAAATCACAAGAAAAATCCTGACTTTACTGATGGCTACAGCAACATTTAGCTTGAAGGAGTGACTCCAGAAATTAGTCTCTTTGGTGGTGCACACAGAGCTAAGAAAAAAAAATCTAAAATTACTTTTACGGAGAAGGGAACAAAAAGGAAAATGCGGCAGATAAGTGCAACCCACTGGATTGGGAAAACTGGTAGATAACCCAAGACCAGTGTTTCCACTTTTTCACTGACTGTTCCCTATGACTTACCATTGCAAGAAGTGTCTCTAGCTTGTCCTTGGCATCCTTGACTTCCTTCACCCTATTTCTAAAAGCAGTATTCACCATCTCACATTGCCTGCGCATGTCATTTGCTATCTGTGAAAGGATGCCATTGATAAGTGCCTTCAGTGACAAAGAATTGTTTCGCTGCTTGTCAGCCTTTTCAACATTTATGTTTGAGAAATCTATCCAGTCCTCAGGGCTCACAAAACTGAAAGAGAATCAGAATAAGAGGTCACCAACAGACAGCAGCAGAACCTCTGTAACTTCATAAATCTGTAATTGTACCACAAAATCAAGAACGAAGCAGCACTTTTAACTGCATGTCCCAGTAAGTGTCATATGTCCAGGGAGTGCTACAGATACAAAAGAAATACTCTGTCACAAGAATTTTGGAATGAAGTAGATGAGAGTCAGATGAAAATAAATTTGCTGGAATCATAGAGCAGCCTTGCTGTTACTTGCCCCTGCTGAAGGGGAAGTTAAGAGTTATCATGGTGGGAAACACACATAATAACCAATATTTCTTAGAGCATCTTTCATTAATAAAGCTGTGACTATTAATAGCAGGTAGCTATTTACACAACACAGTCACTTACTCTCTCACAGAGTTCACAGTACCTGTCTGGGACAATAGCCGAGAAGCCCAGTCCCAAGAGTATCCCCAGAATTAGAGGGTTATGCTTGTGGAGCTTTGGCTTGCAGGTGGGTGTTTGAAAAGTTCCCCAGATGGTTCGTTCCTTGTTTCATTGGGTGAATACATAAAGTTGTAATTGTCATTTGCACATAGCAGGTAACACCATTCTGGGTGTGGTCTTAGTTACGTAACCTGTTGTAGGGGCTGGCAGCAAGAGCTGTCAGCCTCTTGGTGTTGCAAGTTTGCCAGCTGTTATATAGCAACAACAGTGACTTTCTGAAGCTCTTGTACACATTGCTTTCTCAGTACAGTTCCTCTTTTCAGCCCATTTTTGTGTGGTAGCTATTTTTCCGTTTAAACCTTTCACACTAACTAACCCATGCAGAATGGGCACACTTGACAGCTCAATGTCTGAGTCAGAAACTGACTCGAGACCTCATGGGTCTCAGTCCAGCATTCTCCCCACTGGGTCACCCTGGGAGAGGAAAGAAGTTAAGACCAGTAAATGTACTCTGTGTTTAAGCAATATGTGAAATTCTTCCTTAGCTAACTGTGAGCTTCAAAAACTTTAGAAAAACTGCAGTTCACTGGGAGCATAATTATTGTGGCTTATTTCATAGACATATTAGACAGATACAAAAGTGATGGACAGAAGTATAAGAAAGATGGCAAAAGGATAAAGCCTCTTTTACACAAAACTAATCTTGCTGTTACTGGGACAGCCCATATTATCTGTATAATTATCCTATGTTTGTTGAACTAAAGAACCACTTACTTTCCTTCTAGTTCCATTGCATTATCAGCATATATAATATGAGGACTGTCATTTGTCAAGCTGGCACAGTAATCATCAATTGTCAAAGCTATGAATTTGTCCTTCAGATCCATTTCCAGGTCATATTTTGCTGAACGGTTTCGTCTAGGAAAAAAAACAACCAAACTAAGACCAAGTGTAGGCATTCACAGGTGTCCTTAATATGCGTCCATGCATGCATTAGGTAATTCAAATGCTGTTACAGAAATCTTTGTGTAAAAACTCTTAGTTGTCAAGTCACAAAAACTACAGTATGAAGCTGCCTTTCTATAAATTGATGGCAGAATTCTCATTGAAATGAAAGTCACAGGACTGGATCATGAGAAGACCAAGGATCAAATGCAAGTACTTTGTATTCTACATGCAGAACCTCTCACCACTACTGATTGAGTGGCATGAATTAGGACTAGCCTCCTGCTACTGTTTAGCACTGAAGATAACTTAGGACCTGTGCTCAGCCTGACAACTTCTCAGTATTACGGCTGTCTAAATTTTCATCTAATTAATGTTCTGTTATGCTCTCTGCCTCTGCACCTGATTTGCTCATTTGTTTGTTCCAATGTACGTCCAAGTAAAGCAATAATCCCCTGGAGGACTTCAGCTTCCTTCAGCAGTTCCTGTTCTACTTCATCATGCACCAAGTCAACCCCAACTCGCTTCTGCCTACATGAAAAAAGGAAAAAACCATCAGCCACATTGTTCAAATGTCTGCATCGAACAGAAGATGATAAAGTTCCACTTTCCCAGTGCTGTAACACCTAAATCAAACTGTGACTTCACTGTAAAGAGAGGTGGGCCTTTAGTTTGCAATCTTTTTTCTTATTTGTTAAAGGTTCATTACCTAGACTTTTTTTGTCTCCTCGAATGCTCACCTGTACAGGAGACACTTTTGGGCAATGACAAGGGGCTCTTTGCAGCCCTCCAAAGCTCTCTCCAGCCTATTCTTGAAAGTCAACAAAATCTCTGTCTCATGAACAATTTGTTCTAGCTTGTTATCTAATTCTTGCTTCCAGAATTTTATCTCTTCCCGTCTCTGTTCTGTAGAATCAAAATAACAAACATGTATTAATATGGGCTCATGTTATGAGCAAGGGGACAGCAGCTCAGATCTTAGGTATGGCTAGAAATAGACTTATTCTATGGTGGAGTGCCTGTAGTGTTGTGGGCTGTGTGGAAACAGTTTAGCAACCCTGTGTCAGGAGGTTTGCTTAAGAGAGCTTTTTGTGTGCTTTGTTATAAAAATAAAGAGTCTGCCTCAAAATATTTTATAAAATATTTTTGATTTTTTCATGACATCAACAAACGGCATTGACATATACTCCTATTCACCATCAACTAATTTTCTAAGTCCTTCTTGAACATATAGCTCAAATAACACATCTTGATCCTTGCTGAAGACATGGGATTACCTAATTTCTTGTTGACATCACTTTGAGTTTTTTGAGTTGTCTTTTCTATTTCATCCACCAGCCTGCTACTCTCAGCTGTCATGCATTCTGACCTGGATTTCTGGGACTCTGTACTGGCACGCTGCAACCTGTTTGCAGTGTACCATTCTGAGGCATGAAGTTTAGATGGATCTTGCAACAGTCTGGCCATTGCTATTTGGAAAGTTTCTGGATATAATGCAGGTCAGTTCTTGGAATATTGAACCTGAAAACAGAAACAGCATTGTATTTGGCTGCCAAAGCAAGAAGGGGAGAAGACAGGTCTATAAGGATGAGAAATATTTGGTTCTTTTTACCTGAAAAATGACACTGACATGAAAAAAAGATTTTTTGCTCAAAGTTCCCCAAGTCTTTGCTGATGTGTAGGGAAGAATGTGCTGATGTGTTTGGAGTGGAAGAATGAAGAACCAGAGGAATTTGTGAGTGAAATTTAGGAGGCGAGAAGTGGATCTGACAGGAAAAGATGGACTATGCAATAGGAAGGAGAAGGGAAAGGAGACCTGTGGAGAAAGCTGGAATTACTAAACAAGCAATCACAGAAAACAAAACAAAAAGTGAACAAATATAAAAGATAAATAGCCTCACAGAGGTTGGAGAAGCAAACACCTTTCAAGAATATGGCTGGAGAAATGGATAAAATCTAGACTGTAAAAAGAAATGTAACCACAGAATTATCAATGTCGGAAAAGACCTCTAAGATCATTGAGTCCAACTGTCAATGCAGCACAGCTGTGTTCACCACTAAACCATATCCTCAAGTTCTAAATTCACATGCCTTTTGAACACATCCAGGAATGAGAATTCCACCACTTGCCAGTGCAGTCTGTTCCAGCGCTCGATTGCTTAAGTGATTTTTTTTCCTAATGATGATTAGGAAAAAAAACCCAAACAAACAAACAAAGAAACAAAAAACAAACAAAAAAAACCACCCAAAAAACAAAACCCAAAAAAAACAAAACATCCCCCCCCCCAAAAAAAAAAAACCCAAACCAAAACAAAAAACCCCACAAAGAAAACCCAACCCAAACAAAAAAACCCATAACCACACAACACAACAAAACACCAGACCCAAAATCAAAACCGGACCTGAAAAGCTGAAGGAAAAAACTCAGCAGGCAAATGAGGAAATGGGAAAGTCCAGAAAGGATTAAAGAAGAAGAACAAAGCATACCGAGGACACTTGTTTAGTGGAGGGTGAAACCAATGCCCCGAATTTGCACAAAGTAGTTTGATTATAGATTTTCCTATTGCAGTATGGTCATCCAGTGTTCCTAAGACAGCTCCTGAGCCCAAATGCACTCAACTGCACAGCAACACACAGCTCTGCTCACACTCCATTCAGCATAGCTGCCCTTAACTTCCTTCGCCCTCACACACCTCCGGACTGAGCTTGCTCCTCGACTGAACTGCTCTGAAGTTCAAAGCCTGGCCAAGTGCCCCGTCCTCAGTTCCCTTTCCCTTGGAAGGGTCTTTCAGCCTCAGAGACGACTCAAGGGTCTCTCAGCCTCCTCAGCAGCAGCAGCACAGTTTCTTTTTAAATGTGCGACTAAATACTGCAGGAGGTGGCTCGAACTGCTCGGAAGGCAAACAAACTGGCTGCTGTGGAAACTACAGCAGCTCCCCCTGCTAGCAGCTTGGTGCTGGGCCACTGGGTGGAGGAAGCACAGCTCACACAAGCCGGTGGTGCTTCATTTCACCCACTTCCTGTTAAGATTTATCGGGAAAAAAACCCACGTGTTCGCTGTACATTATTTTTTTGATAGTTCCAAGAGCTGTGGACAATAATTATGAATTGATTTGTTGTAGAAATGCATAAAGATTGTGAAACAAATGGGAAGAGTGTTAAGTATCCAGCTAAAATGTCAGTCATAAAATATCCTTAGTAGTATTCTCTATGTCAACAATATTCTTTCCTGGGAGAAAAGATTCTGGGAGCCAGACAGAAGAGATGAAGGAGACAAAGAGCTTGACATCAGAGGGTACAACTGTGTCCCCTCCGTATAGGTCTGCTATAGTTTAGATCAGAGCAGAGTTTCTCAGAGTGAAACCTGACAATGTTCCAAGAGATCACAAAATGATAAAGAAGTAACGTTACTCAAAAAGAAGCAGAGCAGAGAGAATGTCATATTTCTGAAAACGTGCTCAGTCACCCTGAAAGCTGAGGAAACTCCCCAGTGGTGGTTCTCCACGACGTTACTGTGGGACCAGTGGGACTTCATGCCGTTTTGTTCTGAAAACCCAGTATCTCATGCTGTCCTACCCCAGACTGTAGCGACACTGCCACAAATTAAAGCTACAAACCACAAATCCATTCATCAATGTCAGCTACCGCAAAAGACAATTTCCTTTCAAACTGTCAGTATGAAATTTACAACCGATGCCGCAATGTGAACTTTACGACAAAAGAAAGCTGTAGTTTTACCTCCGATGGTTTTCTCTACCGACTCACAGGGGTAGAAAACGGCTCCAGGGCCGCCGGTGCGAGCGCGCCTGCCACGCGCCGGCCCCGCTCCCGCCGAGCCCCGCGCCAGCGAACAGCCGCGGGCTGAGGGGAGAGAGCGGCCGGACACCGCCGGCTGCGCCCCGCCCGCCGAGCTCCGCGCCAGCGAACAGCCGCGGGCTGAGGGGAGAGAGCGGCCGGACACCGCCGGCTGCGCCCCGCCCGCCGAGCTCCGCGCCAGCGAACAGCCGCGGGCTGAGGGGAGAGAGCGGCCGGACACCGCCGGCTGGGCCGACATCCGCAGCGCCTTTCCACGCCACGCGTAAGCGTCCAGTTACGGCCGGATGAAAATGTGAGTCCTCCTCTGCACAGCAGTAGGGGTAAGCTAACACCGGCTTGCTTACCACGTTCCACTGTAATGTCTTTAAAAAGGATTTGACAAACGAATGGTTCCTCACATTGTGAATTTTGTCTAGATGTAGAAAATAGAGTCACTATTTGTGAAATGGCCAATTCCTCAGTCTGGAAACGTTTCACGTTTTCTGTGGAGGAGTCTAACCAGCCAGCATTAATGAGACTAGATCTAAATGAAGTATGTTGCCATATTCCTTATTGGGTGCATGAAAAAGACCATAAATAGCCTTATTCATCAGAGAATCAGTCAGCAGAACTGCTGCCACTGTGTTGAAGTAGGAGAGTTCTCTTGACTGAGCTCACACTGCAGCATTATTAACTGCTTTCTTTCAATGTTGCTGAAATCACAAAGCAGACTAACATAATAGCTCTGAACAGTGGTATTCCACTAGAATCCAAGATACTCCATGTAGAAAGGCTGAGAGGGCTGGGGCTGTTCAGCCTCCAGAAGGCTCATCAGAGAGCTTCTGGCAGCCTTTCAGTACTTAAAAGGAGGCTTCTAAGAAAAATAGGGACAAACTTTTCAGTACGGCCTGTAGCGAAAGGTCAAGGCTTAACAGTTTTTAAACTAAAAAGGTTGATTTAGACTGGATATAAAGTGAAGTAACTGCTGGAACCCGGCGCTAGCTCTTAGAACTCTGGCGCCATGCCAGGAGTGGGGAACTGCCTCGGCAGGAGGATATATGGATTTTCCAGAGGCAGAACCTTTAGAGCCACTTGCTTCAGGTGCCAGACACGAACCACAACAGGGACCAGGCAGAGGAGAAAGGAGGAGGCTCTCTGTCTTGAGGTTCCATAAGGGAGAGCTTACTCCAGATGAAGGCAGCAGGACAAAAAGCCCCAGCCCTCTTGTGGAAGGGTGTTTTGTACAGATACAAGTCAGGGGGTGGATACAAACAGCTAATTAATAGGGAATCCTCAGGGGACCTGTGAGGGGATTCCATGGGTCCAACTGGGGTAGGAGGGCGGAGAGGATGGGCCACATGGGCCAATGAAGCTTCCAGGAGTAGGGGAGTTCCAAAGGGGTGTTGTAGACAGGGATTGGCCTGAGGTTTAAGTGGCAGAGAAGGTTCGGGAATCAAGGGGTGGATTACCTTGACAGGCAGGGAAAGAGCTGGAACAATAGACGGGGAATGGCATGAATGACAGCTTTTAGGGAGGGTAAAACTCAGAGGTAAACCAACTACATGAAGGACAACATGGGGGTACAGCAGAACAAACCACTTAACAAGGAATCAATAAAATCAAAGTGCAATAATACGGAAGAAATTTTTTACAGTGAGGATGGCAAAATACTAGCACAGATGGCTTGGAGAGGTCCCCATCCTGGAAAAATTCCAGGTCAGTTTTGGGCTTGGCCTTGAGCAATCTGATAAAGCTGAAATCATAGAATTATTGAATGGTTTGGGTTGGACATCCTTGGTTATTGCAGGGGGGTATTGGACTAGATCACTGCCACAGTAATCAATCCCTTCCAGCCCTAACTATTAGCTCAGTATGTTCAAGCATGGTGCTATAACGGCACCAAGGTTGTGAATTTGATCCCTATATGGGCCATTACTTAAGAGTTGGATGTGACGATCCTTGTGGGTCCCTTCCAGCTCAGAATATTCTGTGGTTCTACGGTAACTCCTCTGAGGCTTTATGTAGACATAGATGCATTTTAGCATAACCAAAAATGGCTTTTAAATGCATCTTACATGAAGCAATCTTGTCTTTTATTTTGGATACTTTAGAACTACCTCAGTAAGCCAGGCCGTGTTTAAATTAATGATACAAGGTTGAACCTTTGGGATAGTTTTATGCAATTACATATATTTAAAATACATGTAAAAGTTTGCATAGGTTCGCACATAGCTTTAGATTAAACATTTTATTGGAAATATCACACAAAGGGAGAAGTGATGAAAGACATTCATCCAGTTATTACACTTGAAAAGAGAAAAACTGCTGCTATGGGAAGCATAGTCTTAAAAAGTAGATGATGTCTCTGCTGACATTATCTTGAAAATACTGCACAGAACAAACTGATTTAGCTTTTAAAAGTAGGCTCAAGTTGTCAATAAACAACTGTAGATATACTTTTAGATATAATACAGAAACATTAGAAAAGTTAAGAAACAGTCCATTTGTGTAAAATATATACTACGCCAAAATAATAGATTGTTCTTTTATCATTCATGCTAAACACACTGTCATATATACACACATTCTCTGCATTTAAAAAAATAAAAATACTGAAAAATCAATTGGGGGCATACATTATATACTTTAATTTTAATTTAATCATACAATCAAATAGTTGAGGTTATTCATATAGAGCAGACCTCATAATGCACAAAGCTGTAAGTTTTCTAAAAGTATGTCATAGCACTATCTCCCTAATCCTCACACACAAACCATCAGCAGATCAACTCAGCTTACAGTCTTCAACTTTCCTGCAAACAGGTGTCTGGTAAGTCCCAGAGATCTTTACGATCACCTCTCTGAAGTGGGAAGACTTTAGAAAACCTGTACAAATACCTTGCGGATAGCTGCAAAAACAAGGCAAATTACAGAACATATGTAGATTCACCCTGTTGAATTAGCAATAATTTTACAGTCTAAAAGTTCCTTTATATAATTATATGCTATTAGGCCTAAATTGGCCAAGCACTTAGCTGCATCTTCAGCACTCACATCACACAGTAAAATCATCTACGACCTCGGACTGTGAAGGAATGCGATGTATTAAGCCAGTATTGCCCCTCTTGTGGTAGTTATGATAGACCTTGGCTCTGCTACTCAATAAAAAGTATTCTACTGTAAGAATGTAAATAGGTGTATTGTGTGTGCCAGTTTTGGCCAGATTTCTCCTCATGCTTAACCAAAACTCCAAAACAAGAGTGCAACGTGTTTATCCTTACAGTGCATTTGGTAGAGCTATAGGCACACACTTACTCCTCAGAATTATAATCATTCAAGACAAAGTAAAAAACTGAAGGCAGTGGCATTTATATGCTAACAAAGCGGTTGCTTCATTCATGGTTTTTAAGTAAACTAGACTAGAAAGGGAGGCTGAAATAAAATCATATTTGAAATGCAGTTGAACTTACGTACTTTTTAAACTGAAATTCAGAGCACACAGAATCATGACTGGAACAAAAATCTTTTAAGTAAAAGCTCTGTGTTGCTTTCACTGATTTTACTTGGCTGTCTGTCACATCATTCTAAAAAGATGCAATAAATCTGAAGAATGCTTGACATATTTTATTATAAATGGTCATCAATACAGAACCAAATTAATCTTTCTAAATATCTACAGATCAATATAGAACCAAAGTAATATTTGTAAATATCTACAAAAAGCGTAAGGGCAGGTTAAAAAACATTCTCTAGCATGAGCAGACAATTTGTGGCTTTCAGTTTGTTTCTTTCTATGAGCCTGTTCTTAGGGAAGAAATAATTTTAGAAGACTTTTTTTAGTCCAGTAAATCTGGAATAATCTAACTCTACTGTGGTTTTAATACTTATTTAACTGAAAAAAACTGAAACTAGTGCAAGGATTTTGAAACTATTTCAAAACTCCCACATCTTTGATATATATATTTTTTGTGTATTGTTTGTTTGCCTCAGAATCAGCATCTGTACTGAAAGAGTTGTAAAGAGCTTATCCACACTGAAGAGCTGCTCTCCCACTGAGTCCAGGTAAAAGGACATTACAGGCTTGTTTCTATTACAACTGTTCAAAGGATATTGTACCTTGCTAGCTCCTACCATTCCTGCAATCCTAAACCATGCAAGCACACAATCTCAGAACAGTCCCAGCTGTTGCTAGTCTTACCAAGAAATTAATCCAGGACTGCCAGTTAGAGGCATTAGCAACCCTTTCAGCAAAAAGTACTAGATGTAACCATTACAGACAAATGCCATTATGTAACGTAGTAATTTGTCACCACACTCATCAGACAATAGGTTATGCTCTGTTTATGCTTTAAGAGAACAAAACAATGCCTGTTTGATCTCTGTGTGTGTAAGCTAGAGGTAGGATTGGAGGAGAGGTGTTATTGCCCTAGTGGTTGAGTACTCTCGGTCATTATTTGCTAAACAGAATTTTCCTTGTCCATCTGTTATTTCTTTTATACTATGTTCAACAGACAACTAAAACTGAAGGTGCTATCTTCTGGAGTTTTACCTGCATTTTAAGATGGAACACCTTCATAGCAGAGTCACTGCATAAAATTGTCCCTAGCCTTACAGACAGGAGAAGTACATTTGCTTCCTGTGATCTTTAAACATAAAAATCCTAAAAATCCAATCTACTACTAGCACCAAAATGACAATATTTGCTTTTGCCAATGTCTTTTTGTCTTTTTCAAACCTATTTCCGTATTACTGACACGGTGATGTGATCAACACTTCAGGGCACTGCTCAGCAATACTTCAGTCAGCCAGCTACACAGCTGAATGTAAGCAAAGGGACAGTACAAAGCAAGAAATAATACTGTGTTCAATTTTCAAAATGTCAGTCTTCCCATTAGCATGCTGACCCTTCT